AACAACACATGATCTGTTCATGGGTTTTAAATGTATTTTTCCAGGACTGAAAAAAAAGAAGAAAAAAAAAAGAATTAAACTTAAAGCGAAGCATCTCATTACAGTGTATTTATCTCACAGCATTATCTCCCTCACTAAGCAAAGCAAACTAGGTATGGGGAAAAAAAATACAATAATAATAAAAAAGCCTTACCCAGTTTCTCTAGTCTTACAGCATCTTTGCAGGTAGGAGATGCCAGCTACATAGTAACAACTACTTCATTTTTAGACATATATTATGTTGCAGGCATTGCTACAGATAGCATTCCATTTTGTTCAGAATGCCTTTGGCAAGAAAACCTTGCCTTAAGATCAAATAATTCCAAAGCTGTTCATTAGGATCTCCAATGTAATTCTAAAAAAAAAAAAAAAAAAAAAAAAAAAAAACCCCAGAAAAAAAATCCTTCAACCCATCAAGCCAGTGAAATAGACTCTGATTAGGTGATTAAACAGTTATAAAATGATTAATATGGCTTAATATTTAATTTGCATATGCATTATGAAAAGAAATATCCCCAGAGCGACTCAACCACACCACAAGTACTAGGCTTTTCACATGAGCATGAATGACCACGCACTAGAGGAAAATATTCACACACAACTAAACTTTATGAACAGAGAGCGTATCCCCAAAAAAAGCACGGAATTGTGCAGCTATCACAGTTCCCCGCTTGGGTTTGCAAAGCGCGGCCACCTTCAGGAGAGGTAACACATGTGTTCAGCAGCTGCTGAGTGGGTTTAACAGACCTGAGGAATGGCTTAGATGCATCCACCTTCCCCCCCTTCAGGTCCCCTCCCCAAGCCCCACGTTTAATGTGCATATACATAAGTTTTGCCCCCGAGTTCAAGCACAGGGCTTTTTTTTTTTTTTTTTCTTTCTTTCTTTCTTTCTTTCCCCGTTTTCACAGAGCAAGGCTGTTCTGTAACTGGATCCTCTAACAATAAACTACCCTCTCTGGAGCAGCAGAAGCAGGACTGGTGCCTCAGTACCAGCAGGGATCCTGCAGAAGGGACCGCTCCAGCTGCACCAACCACAGGACTCAGCAGCATTTCTTTAGCAGCTACGCTCGAAACATGCAGGTGCACAGAAAAATAGGTACCCCTCAGCACTGAGCAGTCCATCTAGAGCTTCCAAAACCTGCTAAAGGGTTACGTATGATCTGAGAAAATGGTCTCTTTTCTACTCTCTCCTACTCATAACACCTCGGCAAAGAAATAAAGCACATCATTTTTTTTTTCCCAAACAGAAATTCATTTCACATTATAGCATCAACTCTTCCTATCTCTAGGCTATTACAAAAAGTTGCTTTAGAATAAAGTAGAACAAGAAGAAATGTACACAGATATCTACTGGAAAAAATAAATCTACTTTTCCATAATATTTTTGTAATTTATTCAAACAGAGTACAATGGAATTACCATTATTATCCCCACTTATCTGAGCCCTTTTCTGTATAGTACTGAATCGTCACTATACTATAGAAAGAGCAATCACAACTGAAATGTACACAGTGAAAGAAACAGTAAGTAAAGCTCTTCTGTCAAAGTAACCGTTTCCACTACTACATGTTTTCTATAAAAATAAGGTCTAGGCAACACCAAAAAGTGTTCAAGTTTCAATAAATAACCATCAATGCCCCAAGTTTGCACTGGCACAAGAAATATGGAGCTTACAGTCTAGAGAAGTGTTTTCCTGTGACTGAGTTGGAAATACATTTCATTTTGCTCAAAACTTACAACAATATTGATCTCCTCCAGGATTTGACTTTAGAATTGAAGCCATTTAAGTGCTTTACTTACAAGAGCACTCACATACTTGTCTTGACTCTAAATGGCAAATTAAAGCTCTAGAGAAAGACGTATTAAAAAAAAATCATCAATACCAAGAAAATATACATTGCCATGTTATTTTTAAATATATATATATACACATTTATGTACACACATATATTTTCAAAAGGGTATGACTCTGGCTTTTAACTTTGAAAGGCTCCTCCACAGCTAAACACTTGACAAAAGTGTATGAAGAAATAAACTCCTTCCTTCTTCTTTTTCTTCTTTTTTTTTTTTCCCCAGGAAAACAACAAAAAAAAAAGTTCAATCTTTCTGTAAACCGGAATTATTGTAATCCCCCAAATCCCTACAGACCTTCACGTGGAGGGTGCCGGCGGTGGGGAGAAAGACGAACAACAACGAGGAGGACGACGAGGACACCACAGCACAGCCACCCCCGGGGGGCTTCTCCCTTCCTTCGATGCCGCCCGGCGTCGCCCGCGTACTTAGTGCAACAAAAATAAAACCCGCCGGAGCGCTCGCAACGCCCGGCCTCCGGCACCGCCTTGCCCGGGCGCGAATAAATAAGGAATAAAAATATTAATAATAATAATAACAAGCGTGGAAATAAAGCCGGCCGCGACGCGGGGCGCCGGGGAGAGCAGCGCC